AGTGAGTGTATCAGTGAGGGTGTGTGTATCAGTGTGAATGAGTGTGTGTCAGTGAGTGTGTGTGTGCATATGTGTGTCTGTGTATCAGTGAGGGTGTGTGTATCAGTGTGAATGAGTGTGTATCAGTGAGTGTGTGTGTGTATATATGTGTGTGTAACAGTGAGGGTGTGTGTATCAGTGTGAATGAGTGTGTATCAGAGTGTGTGTGTATCAGTGAGGGTGTGTGTGTGTATCAGTGAGGGTGTGTGTATCAGTGTTAATGAGTATGTATCAGTGAGTGTGTGTGTGTGTGTATCAGAGTGTGTGTGTATCAGTGAGTGTGTGTGTGTATCAGAGTGTGTGTATCTGTGAAAGTGTGTATCAGAGTGTGTGTGTGTGTATCAGTGAGTGTGTGTGTATCAGAGTGTGTGTGTGTGTGTATCAGAGTGTGTGTGTGTATCAGTGTGTGTGTGTGTCCACACCATTATTTTGTCAGTAGCACCATGTGTCACCGCCACCCAAAACTGCACTCATTTCATTTCCTTGTTTCCATTTTGTTGGCTATTCTGAGATGGTCGGCCATTTTGTGGGCCACCTTCAGGCGGTCGTCCTTTCTGTGTGGCCACTCAGTCGCGAATGTCAGGTCAGTTTCGCGCCACCGTCTCAGGCACCCCTTGCGACTCCGTCACGGCAGCTAGGCCTCGGTGGCGAAAGGCCCTTTCTTTCCGAGCTGCCCACCCCGCCCACCACACAAAACCCCCTTAACTGCCCACAGGCCATGGCTCCCCTTTCCGTTGTCTGTTTTGTTTCACTCTTTTTGGTTTGTGCCCGCAGGGCGATCCATCCCAGCCCTCCGGCTGGGGGTGGGGGCCTTCTCCACGAGGCCTCTGGAAGGTTCCGCTCCCAGGCAGCTTCCTGGTCGCCAGGGCAACCCTCATGTTGACTACAACAACAACAAACAACACAGGGACGTCGGCACAGGGATAACACAAACATGGGAGAGTGCCAAATCTGATGAAAGGAAGAAAATTCCGGTCCAAGTGAGCCACTGTTGCTATAGTCACCGGGTTAAAATCCGAGGGGGTGAGAGGAGGATCAGTGAGTAGAAGTTCACCGAGCAAAATGGACGGCTCATTTCTTTTTTAACGTACGTCGTTCCTTTGCGGGCCATTGGAAATCGAGGACTCTTAAGAGTCAACCCTTACAAACTAGGCCAGAGGGTGGCACTGGCACACACAGAATTCCCCAGGGATCTGCCCAGCTCAGCAACCCCGCACGAATTGGGTGTGCACGTAATTTCCCACGGCTAACCCGCACATCCCTGGGCACTATGGGTAATTTCCCATGGCCAACCCGCACATCCCTGGGCACTATGGGTAATTTCCCACGGCTAACCCACACATCGCTGGGCACTATGGATAATTTCCCACGGCTAACCCACACATCCCTGGGCACTATGGGTAATTTCCCACGGCTAACCCACACAT